GGAATTTATAAGGCAGATTACCAGAGAGAAAGGAGCTATATGAAGAAAAAAGCTTTAAAAATCTGCACCGAGCTCCCCTTGAGTTTCTAGCTAAATAAATGCTAAGCAGTACATGCGTAGAATAGGTGGACAAAAACCTCTCTGGGAAAAGGATGACAATTAGGGAGCTGTACACTAAACAATTCCCAGAGATAACACAAAGTGGGGAGAGATTATAGTTCCAACCAGCCAAAATGGAAAGAACTTGTTGAACATGTGAGGCATACAGTGGAAACCACAGTGTGGTCATACTTTAGTAGCATGTTCAAATTAGACCTAGATTGAAGACTTCTCAGAAGCTAAAATCAAGCTTCAGAAGAATCAAGCTGACCTATAACTAGCTAGTCTGCCCATGTAAGCAAACTTCAATACTCCTTAAAGGAAGGCAACACATTCCAGACACTAGACAACACAACATTTAAAATGTCCAGCTTCGATAACAGAAAGGTATCTGGAAAATTCCCAAATACATAGAAATTAAAACACTTCTCAATATCCCAGGGATCAAGGAAGTAATTACAAGAGAAAGTAGCATTTATTTTGAACAGAATAATATTGAAGTTGCAACATATCAAAATTTGGTTATATAAGTAAAGCCTTATACTTAGTGGAAAACTATTGATTTTAAGAAATTATATTAGAAAAAAATAGAAGAATTAAGAATGACCTAAAGTTCCACTACAAGAAGCTAGAACAAAAGAGCAAAGTAAACCCAAAGAATGCAGAAAAAATCATAAAGATAAGAGCAGAAATAACATCCATCTGGTGTTGGGTGGATGGGAGGGGGGAGGAGAGGATGGGTATATTCACACCTAATGGGTGTGGTGTGCACCATATGAAGGATGGACATGCTTGAAGCTGACTCAGGTGGGACAAAGGCAATATAAATAACCTAAACATTTGTACCTTCGTAATATGCTGAAATAAAAAAAATTTTTTTAAAGGAAAAAAAATCAATGAAATAGAAAACAGATAAACCATAGAGAAAATAATGTGACCAAATCTCATTTGTTGAAAAGACTGATAAAACTGATAAACCTCTAGCTACGCTGATCAAGAAAAAAACATTAATAACCAGTATCAGGAAAGAAATGGGAGCAATTGTTACAGATCATACAAAATTAAAAGGATAACATGCAAATTATGAACAATTTTTCCAATAAGTCTAACATCTTAGAGGAAATGAAAAAATTACATGAAAGGATATAAAATATCAAATTCACACATGAAGAAAGTCTGAAGAGCCTTTTACATATTAAAGAATTCCATGAATATTCCCTTGAATAAACTGCCAAGCCCCAGTGACTTCACAGGTGAATTCTATCAAACATTTAACAGAGAAATAAAACTAATTCTATGCAAACTATTTTATTCAAAGTAGTTTAACAAATTTATAGAATATGATAACCTCAGTAGATTCAGAAAAGTATTTGACAAAATCCAACACCCAATAATGATAAATTTCCAGCAAACTAAGGATTGAAGGTAATTTCCCTAATCTGATAAAAGGCATCCACAAAACACATACACACACACACACACCCCCCACACATAACAAATATTGTCCTTAATGCTGGCATACTAGACTTTTCCTACAATCAGGAAAATGTCAAGAACAACTGCTCTGTCAGGTCTATTCAACATTGTACTGGAGGTCATAAGAATTATTAAAAAGTCAAGAAAAACATAAAAGGCATAAAGATCAGAAAGAAGAATGAATGTCTCTATTTGTAGATGACAAATGTTCTTAAATATAGAAAACTCTAAGGAATCTAAAATATAACTATTAAAACTAATAAGTGAACTTAACAGGTTTACAATATCAAAGGTTAATATTATATACAAGTTAATTATATACAAACAGTCAAAATTTGTGATTTTTAAAATTCTATTTAAAATATTCAAAAACATAAAACATTTATGGATAAATTTATCAAAAGTTGTATATGACCTTCACACTGAAAACTATAAAAAATTGCTAGGAAAAAATTAAATAAATGGATAGAAATACCATTTTCCTTTATGGTATATGTATACAATGGAATACTACTCAATTATAAAAAACAGCGGTGATCTAGCACCTCTTATATTTTCCTGGGTAGAGCTTGAGCCCATCCTCTGAAGTGAGGTATCACAAGAATGAAGGAATGGGCACCACATGTACTCGCCATCAAATTGGCACTAACTGATCAACACTAAGGTGGTCACACAGTAGTAATATGATTTAGGGATTGGGGGGTTGGGGGTGGGTAAACTCACAACCCATGGATGCAGTGAGCATTGTAGGGGGGAAGGGCATGCCTCAAATCATAGTTTGGGTATGGCAAAGTCATAACACGTAACCAAAATGTTTTTACCCCCATAATATCCTGAAATAAAAAAAAAAAAAAGAAAGAAACACCATTTTTCTAGACTGGAAGCAAAGGCATGTTGGTAAACATTTAACAACCAACTTTCCTCCCACCCCTCCCCAGTAAAAAGCTCCTGTTTTTCGAGTTTGCCAATTTGTGTGATGTGAATTCTCCCACCCTAGCCAATTTCAAACTATTAAATTCCTAAAATTTTAATAATGACTTCTCGTGATTAAGTATCATGTATCTTTAGCTCACTAAGGGTTGAAACACTTAATATTATTAAAAGTAAAATTTTCACCAAATTGATCGATCTCAATCATAAGTGGACTATGCATTTTTATAGAAATTGAAAACAATTATAACATGTATATGGAAATGTAAAGGATCAAAAATATCCAGAACAATCTTGACAAAGAAAAACAAAGTCGATGGACTTAAACTATAAGACTTCAAAAATTACCTTAAAGATAATCTAGACAATCTGATATTGATATAAGGACAATGAATGAAACAGAATAAAAAGCTCAGAAATAGATAAACTTTTATACGTTACTGGACTTGAAAAAGTCTTTTCAATAAACATTGTTAGAATAACTGGATATCCGTATGGACTAAAAATAATCTTGGCCTCATACCTTATACAATATAAAAATAATTAAGATGGATTGAATACGTAAAATATAAAAGCTAAAGCTATGAAATTTCTAGAAGGAAATGCAGGATAAAGCATTCAGTATTTGAGAGTAGGCAAAGGATTCTTAGGGCACAGAGAGCAATAGACAAAAAACAATATGATATAATAAATTAGACTTCTTCAAATTTTAAAACTTCCCAACACAGACATCATTATGGAAATGAAATAAGCAAGCTACAAAATGGGAGTTAACATCCATAAATTACTTATCTAAGTCCAGTATCCTGGATGTATAAAGAACAGCAACGCCATAAACACAGACCCAATTAGTGACTAGAAAACAATTTCAATTCATAAGCACATGAAAAAGTGCTTAACATCATTACACATCAGGAAAATGTAAATTAAGGTATAGCTCCATACTGAGCTATAACTACATTCTCACCAAAAAAGGAAAAAAATTAAAAAGACTAAAAGACCAAATGTTAGCAAGGATGTGGAGCAACCAAAACTCTCATCCAAAATTGCTGGGAGTATAAAATGTTACAATCACTTTGGAAAAAATTCTGGCTATTTCTTATAAAACTAAGCATGCACTTATTCTATGACCCAGGAGTTTTACTCTTAGGCATTGACCCAAGAGAAACAGAAAAAAAAAATATGGATAGAAATATATTAGAATGAGAATATTTATAGCAGCCATATTCGTAACAGTCAAAACCTGGAAACAGCCTCAATGTCCATGGGTAAATAAACTGTGACTATTACTTAGCAATAAAAATGAACAAACTACTAATACTTGCAGCAACATGGATAAATCTCAAAACATTATGCTGAGTGACCGTATTAAAGAGTGTGTATATTGAAAGATTCCATTTGTAAGAAGCTTCAGAAAAAAACAAAGTCAATCTATGGTGGGAACAAAAATCAGAACAGTGATGATTACCTCTGAAAGATGACAGTAGGGAGTGACTGGGAAAGAAAGGCGTGAGGGAACTTCCAAAAATGATAATACTAAGATTTGTGTATTTCAATGTACAGTATGTAAACCTAACCTAAACAGAAAAAATGAGAACCATCAACAATTTTGAATTCCAGTTATTGGCAGGTTGAAGTAAATGGGGGTAAAATATGTTGATTATTAAAATTTACTCGGAAATACATGATAAAATAAATAGGTTGATAGATGGATGCAGAGATAGATAGATGAATAGATATATGGTAAAATACATTTCTCACTCTGGCTGACTCCAGATTCAGTTTAGAAATTAATTTAACTTCTTTATCCCCAGGTAATTATCAATAGTAAAAGATCTTTGGACATTTTTAGCTAACCAGAGGAGAATCCATACCATTGTTAATGTGCTAATGTTTTACACTGTATCTGGATGTATGCTATAAAATGGGATGAAACAACTGATACTTAAGTTAAAGAAACTACCAACTACCTAAGGTAGACCCAAAGCACTGTTGAGTTTATTTTCATTATTAGGCTGGAAATCTTCCAGAGGGCTGTTGAGTATATTCTTAAAATGCTTTTACACTTTAGCTTATTTTTCTGTTTTTTGACTTTTATTGTCCAGAGTTAAAAAATGCTCAACAAATGATTCAAAGACAAAAACAGGATGAAATTGTTCTGACACTCAAACTGAAAATAACATTTCTGCAAACAACCTCATCTTGAAGGAGAATCAACAACGGTGTTGTGAAGATGATGATTCTTGGTGGTCTCTCCTGCAGCTTTGAATGAAGGAAGACCGAAAGGAGGGCTAAGGATAAAAAACGTTTTCATATTCCAGGAAAAGACTGTTCTCCAGCCATGCTATCAAGTAAGCACCAGGGCCAGTTTTAATGACAACTCAGATCAGAAAACGTGCTTCTTAAGAGCCAACCAATCAGTCACAGCTGAAAGTGAGCCAACAGGAGATTTGTCTTCAGATAAGACAGGCAGTCAGGACAGGCATAAAACTTACCAGCATGAGACTCGAACTTCATCAAAACACTGTTGCATCCCAGAGTAATCAAGATGGACTCCTTCCCAACACGGCAACATTCAGTGTCTCTGTTGAGTAAGCATTTAAAGACACAGACGCCATCAGCTATAAAGGGTTAAAAAAAAAAAAGAAAAAGAATTAGGCAAATCTATTTTGACCCTTGTGAAAAACATTCATGAATATCACCCCTGCATTTCTCTCATGTTCTCAAGGCTCCCCACTTCTGTCTTCTTGACACGATGCCTCCTAGGACTATGTGAACATAAGGATGAGAGATGAGAAGGATCCAGCCATGACCAAATACCAATTCTCTGCATGTGGGTTAACACACAGCACAAAACTGACTCCTACTGGCTCTCTTGCCTTTATACCCAGGGCCCCGTTCCCCACAACCTTTATATTCCCCAAGTCCATTTCGTGTCTCTTGACACCATTGCAGGAGGGTTTGGGTAATGTCTAATTCTTGAGCACCTACTATTTGCCAGGGATGTCACATCAAATCCCCATTGTAAGTATTATCACTGCCAAGTTCCTTGGTGAGGGCAAGGCAGAGACAAGTGGGGAGCCTGTGGCCTTCTGGTTTCAAGATTCTTCTTTTTTTATGCATCGAAGGAGTCAAGAAAGGCTTCATCTTTCTCTGCAGCACCCCTTTTAATAAAACAATTTGTTCTGCAAAATTTGCATTCAGTCAAAAGGCCGCTCTTAAGTACCTAGAAGGCCACATTTCACCTTCGGGCCACAGGTTCCCCACCCCTGCACAGTGTGCTAAGGAAATTGTGATAAAGAGGGAGCTTAGATCTTTGGGAACTAACTAGCTAATCTTTCTTTTACAGGTTAGACAGGCCTTTAGCATGGGGCAGCTGTAGTGTTGTGGAAAGAACAACGGACTTGAGGATTTACTTTTATCTTTGAAAAGTAAACATGAACTTCTGAGTCCCCCGTTTTCATCAGGTGAAATGAAAATATTGATGCTTATTTCACAGGCTTTGGTGAAGACTGAATAAAAATGGTAAAATAATTCCTAAAATACTATTAAAATAATAAGGGACTATTATTATTTCTCCCCTTTAAAGTAGATCTTTTTATGGCTGAGTAGTACTCCTTGGTACACATATACCACATTTTACTAATCCAGTCATGAATTGATGAGCACCTCTGGGTTGATCCCACATCTTTGCAATTGTGAGCCATGCTGTGATAAGCATTTGAGTGCAGGTATCTTTTTGAGGAAAAGTCTTCTTTTCCTTCAGGTAGATACCCAATAGTAGGATTGCTAGATCAAATGGTAGGTTTACTTTCAGTTCTTTGAGAAATGTCCATTCTGTTTTCCATACGGGAGACTATTCTCCTAAGTGAAGCATCTCAAGAATGAAAAACACACACTACATGTACTCACTATTAAAATGGAACTAACCGATCGATGAGCACACATGTGCACAGAGAAAAGCAAAACTCAGTGCAAATCGACCAGGGGAGGTAAAGGGGAGAAAGCGAGGGGCAAAAACCTACCTAATGGGTATAATGAACACTATTTGCGTGACAGGCACACCTACAGCCAGAACTCACGTGTTACAAAAGTGATCCATGTAGCCTAAAACATTTGAACCCCCTTAATACTTTGAAATAAAAATAAAGTAGGCCTTAGTTCCTATCCCTAATGCCTTCCATTCTCCCTTATAAAATCAAATACAGAAAGCGTGTTAACTTCAAAGAGTAATTGTATGTAAAATTCTGTTACATATGTGTGCATGCACATTCATGTACACTATTCAGAACACACACACACACACACGCACAGAGTTAAGATGACCAAATATTTTCAAATATTTCCCCTACTCAAATAAATGTGTACCTCCTGATGAAAGCATTCACAAACATCTTTCACAAAATGTCTTGGCTCGTTAGATAGTGCAAATGTTTTGAAAACATTTTCTGGGCATCAAACATGATTATAGGTTTAGTTATTACAGCCCAGCCAGTGTCTCAAAGGCATCCGTGTCTCCTTGCTGAGAGGTAGCCGTGAATGAAGATGCAGGGGGACTGTGGGGCTCTTCTAAACATGTTCTCTGAAAAAGTCTATGGCCATGCCACCCTGACCGCACCCGATCTCGTCTGAAAATCATAAGAAATATTTTTTCAAGAAATTAGCATTTTTAGCATTTTGCCAATTGTTCCTCTTATGGTTTAGAAGTAGAATAAGACGGAATGAAGAAGAAATGAGACTTCTAGGCTCCTACTGTTCCTTGTACCTACAGGACTATTGTTGTACTCTGCAAGTCCTTTGCCGGCAGTGGTAATTTTACTTAATTTCCAGAATAGATATCTTTTTTTTCTAAATCAAAGCCTAGCATTGCACTTGGTACTTAAAGGTTTGTAGAATCAGTGAAAGCATTTCTCCATGTATTGATTGAATACCATCTCCAAAGAGATAAAAACCTTCAAAATGTGTCTAGTTCAATTATCCTTAACCAGATGGGCTCAGAGTAGTTTGTTTTGTTGTGATTTGATTAAAGTAGAGTTGGTTTTTTTCTACTTCTATAAATTGCAAAATGCCTGCCCATATATTATCCACCTTTTTTACTCTCTCCTTATCCTATATTTAAATATGAGTAGAGAAGATCTTTTTAAGCACACCACAAAATCCAGAAAGTACTACAACTACTCAAAATTTTAATATATACTTATGTAAAAAAAAAATTGAAATATCTTAAAAATGAAAAAGCAGTGATAAGCTGTGAAAATATCTAAGCATCCATAATAAAACTTAATATTCCCAAAATACAATTAGCTCTAAAAATTAAGAAGCCTCAAGCATCCCTATTGAAAAGTTAGCAAGAATGAACAAGCAATTGGTAACTAGAAAAATGCTAATAGCAAAAAAAAGTGAAAAAAATGTTTTCAGTAATAATCAAAGAAATATGTAATAAACCAATGAGATCTATTTAATATTTCTCTCTCATTGTTAAAATTTTTAAAATACCTACTAATAATATCAAATGTTGCACAGGGGATAAGAAAACAGTGAATAAGCATTCTTGGGATTGTCAATTTCTCTATTTCTGGAATGTATAATCCCCTTATGAGTCAAAATTTAAAATTTATGTACTCTTGCTAGACATTTGACTTGTAATAATTTCTTCCAGAATGTACCTTATCAAGTGTAGGTGAATATATATTCAAGGATGTTATTAGAGTTGTTTACTATAAGAAGAAAAGGCAAAGAAGTAAGTCCATCAGTTACATGGTTGGTTAAATCAAACATGGTACCCCCATATTCAGGTTGCAGACAGCATGTAAAATATAGTAGTAATTTAATGTTGTATTTATCTTTATAGAAAGTTGTTTAAGAAGATCTTCACCAAAATGTCATCAGTGACTTCCTCTGGAGGGAGAGATTTGGGATCATTTTTATTTTTCCCTTTCTAGAATTCTGCCTTGTTTGAATTATCTAGGTGACTACTTATTTTTACAATCGGAAAAAATAAGAAAGCTATTTTCATTTGGTAAAAAGTAATCAAACAAAAGACACACTACCATCAATGTATTTCACCACACTCTCATTCTCACTGGGAATTATCTTTCTTTTGATTTTTACATTTATTAGATATTCATTGGTACTTCATTTAAAAATATTTGTTGAGGAATTACTATACCCAATATAATCGTTATTTTAATTACCATTTATAATCATTCATGAAAATGAACATCTTCCCATGTTTTTTATTTGCTAATCTCACAACTTCTTATATTTCCTATCTTTTGACCGTATTAGTACCTAAAACAAACATTATAAATGATTTCTGTTAAGTAATGGAATCAAGATAAAAATGCAGCTATTTCAGGGGAAAGTATATTATCAACTGAGAAATGTATCTTTTTAAAGAACTTACATTAGGAAAATGAAGAAATACAACAACAAATTATTGCAGAACACACACCCAGGTCCAAGAAGTAGCATAACACTGGTGAAGAATTGAGTGGTGGTGATTCTCCCAATGTACATTGTGCTAATAAGGCAGGGCATCTTTCTTTCGAGCTATTGCTACTACTACGAATAACTACATTTGCAGAACACTCTGATGCCGTCTTACAAACATCTCATGTCACCTCTTCAGTGACCCAACTGTGCTGGCTGCTTCTGTGTATTTACTATTATTCTGCTTCTGAATGTTGTTCTCATCAGCCACACTCTTTGCTATTTTTTCAAAGGGCAAGGCCTGAGCTGCTGATAGCAGGAAAATGGCAAGCAGAAAAAGTTCATGTGTACAGAGTTTAGTCAATTTTAAGAAAGTCCAGAGTCTTGCCATTCCCTCCTTGAAAAACCCCAGATGTTTCCCTCTATCCTCTCTCTCAGCCTCATCTGACAAATTTCCAAAGGCACACTGAGATATCCAGGAGTTTCCCTTTAGGCAGATGCAGATCAGAAACCATGGAAAATGCCACAGGGTGAGGTGAAGAGAATCCTCTCCTCTCTTAACAAATATTTCTCTGCTTTTCCAATATATACCCTCTCTCCTTTCAGCCCATGCAAATACAAAATCCAATCTCCATATGAAAGCTACAACACTAGTTGTCCAAGAATTATTAGATGTTAGGCGTGATTTAGAACAGCAGTTCTACAAAATATCAATATTTTTATACATAATTTACTAAACAGAACGCATTACCTAATAATGTGGTATACATGCCAATTCTATGCTAGGTGACCCTCTTAATATTTTCTTACTCAGAAATGGGAAGTCAGGCTACCTAAGGACTGTTTCCTAGAATTAGATAACTAAAAAATGATTACATAGGCAGCACCTGTATATATGGAGTAAAGTATATAGACGTACATATTCCTTAGAGACTCATCCGAGTTGTTGCATGTGTCAATAGCTCATTCTTTTTTATTGCCGAGTAGGATTCTATGATATGGATGCACCACAGCTGGCTGAATCTTTGAGATGTTGATCCATTTTATCTGGGCCATGTCCATTTGGGGCTAGTACTAATAAAACTGCTATGAACATTCATGTACAAGTGTGTATGAACAGAAGTTTTCATTTTTTTGAGATAAGTGCCCAGGGGTGCAATTGCTGGGTTGTGTGGCACTTGCACTTTTA